AACACTGGTAATTTTGGTGAAAGTAGTTTCAGTTGAAAGATGAAGTTGGCACTGCTAGGTCTATGTTCCAAAAATATTCAAAAAATGGGAAAAGAACATATTTGTACAAAAATATTTATAGCAGCTCTTTTTGTGATGGCTAAGAATTAGAAATCAAAGGGATGCCCATCAGCTGGGAAATGGCTAAACAAGCTGTAGTATATGAGTGTAATGGTATATTAGTGTGCTATAAAAAATGATAAGCAGGATGAGTTCAGAAAAATCTGGAAAGATATATAGAACTGATGTATAGCAAACTGAACAGAACTAGGACAACATTGTATACAGTAACAGCAATATTGTTCAAAGAAGAATTGTGAATGACTTAGCTATTCTCAGCAATACAATGATCCCAGACAATCCCAAAGGACTAATGATGAAGCATACTATCAGCCTCCAGAGAAAGAACTGATATTGATTGAATACACACTGAAGCATGCTATTTTTCACTTTCTTTCTTTCATTTTTTTCCTTTTACTCGAGTCTTCTTGTACAAAATGACTAATATGGAATGTTTTACATAATTGCACATGGATAATCTATATCTGATTATTACCATCTCACGGAGGGAGGGATAGAATTTGGAACTCAAAACTTTAAATAAAAATGTTTTTCAAAATTTTTTAAAAGAAAGATGACGCTGAGAACCAGAATGGAGAGATAAGAATTTGAGAGGATAAGAAGTGGAGACATGAAGTAAACAGTCTTCTCAAGTAATTTAGCCAGAAAAAGAAAAGCTGCAGGATGATAGGTAGCAGGGATAGATGGATCAAGTGAGGGCTTTTGGAGAATGAGCGTGACATGAGCATGTTTGCAAGCAATAGGAAAGCAGCCTGTAGACAAGGAAAGACTGCAAATAAGCAAAAGAGTAATGGAGATAATCTGCTAGAAAAGATGAGACAGGATTACTTATGCATATAGAAAAGTCTTCCTTAGCAAAGAGTAGGGTCACCTCTTCTTGTGAGACAGGGGTGAAAGATAATAGGGTAAGGAATCTTAGTGATATGAAATAGAGAGAAGAGGAAGCTCTTAGCAAATGGCCTCAACTTTTTCAGTGAAATATGAAGAAAGCATCATAGCTGAGAAGATAAGGAGTGAGGGAGCAATGGAAGGTTTCCTGAGGAATGAAAATAATTTAGAAAAGCAGATGTAGTAAGCGGGATAGCAAGTCTATTAGGAAGATATAAAAGGACTGCCTTGTCATAGTGAGGATGCAGCTGAGGTTATATAACATAGAGTTGTTGGGGGTCTAGTCAGCATGGTTTTATAATTTTCTCCATCTTTTTTCAGCATTCAAGTAAGAGCGAAGGCAACAGATGGTGGGAGTGATCCTAGGGCTGAAGCTTGACAATACAGTTTATTTGATAGGATAAGGGGAAAAGGAACTCGAGAAGAAGACAGTGCAGAGCTAGAATCTGCAGTGCAGATTCACTAATGGATAAAGATGAGGAAGAGAGGAAAATGTAGCTAGTGTAGGAATCATATCCTGGGAAGGAACTGACAGGTGGAGGTCACAGTGAGAATAAAGAACAAGTTTTGGGAATGCAAGGCAGAGGTAAAGGTAGATTGTCAAAAAAATGTGATCACATAAAGGAAAATCAGATGGAGAAGTGGAGCATTTGGGAGTAATAACAAGATAAAGAGTGTGACCATCTCTGTGTTGGATCTGAGATAGAGTGGCACTGGAAATCAGTGAAGTGAGAAACTAGTGGGTTAGGGTGTTTGAAGGAGTAAAATCCCTCAGTATAAGGAGAAAGTTAGAAAGCTGAAAGCTAAAGAGCTGGAACTGGGGAGGGAATTCCAGGTATGAGCATGCTTTGGAGTTTAGGTAGCCAGAAAGTGGGCCTGCAGTGTGATTCCATCACATGCTTGAGAGGCAACTCATTCGATCCATTTAATCACCGAAGCAATGACCACTCCACATTCATCACCCTGAAGGTGCAGCTTGTGAAGACCTTTATTACCTCACGCCCACTGATAAACACAAAATATTAGTACCTTAAGAACAGCCAAATAAAAGGAAAGACATTATTTTCTTTCTTTTTTTATTAATTTATTTTGATTTATCAACAATCACTCCCATATGCTTTTGAGTTTAAAATTTTTTCTCCCTCTTCCTCCTCACCAACCTCCCCAAGACGGCACACAATCTGATATAGGCGCTATATGTATGTGTGTGTGTGTGTGTGTGTGTGTATTCTTATTAAACATATTTAAGGAAAGACATTATTAAGAGTAGGAAATGTTTAGGCCCAGGAGAAAAAAATAAAAAGGAATTAAACAAGCAAGTACCAGGCACTATGTTAAGGGCTTAACAAATATTAGCACATTTGATCCTCATAACCACCTTGGGAGGCAGGTTCTGTTCCCATTTTACAGTTAAGGAAATCGAAGAAGACAGAAGTTAAGTGATTTACCCAGGGACACACAGTTAGTGAGGCCACATTTGAATTCAGGTCTTCCTAACTCCAGGCCTAGTATTCTTTTCCCTGTATCACCTAGCTGCTGAATTGAAGCATTAGATAGTATTTAATATTTACAAATACTCACAAGTATAAGAGTAGGAGGGGAAAAATAATCACTGTCATCAGCATAAGCTCCTGTCCATCTTCCAGAGGATGGTATCCATAACCAGCTTCTCTCAGAATTAATATTTAGTTAGGTACATGTCAACTATGTGATTCTGTTTGCAAAGGTTCTGTTTACATTCTCCTACTCTGGAGAAAATACTTAAGGGCATAGTTAAGTTCCCCCTTTTATTAAAAAAAAATTTTTTCTAGGGGCAGCTAGGTGGCGCAGTGGATAGAGCACCGGCCCTGAAGTCAGGAGGACCTGAGTTCAAATCCAGCCTCAGACCAAACACTTGACACGTACTAGCTTTGTGACCTTGGGCAAGTCACTTAACCCCAATTACCTCACCAAAAAAAAAAAATTTCTATTTTTTTGTTTTTATACTACCAGAGTTCTTTCCTTCCTTCCTCCCACTCAGACAGCCATCCTTTATTTAAAAATAAAAATGATATTTTTTTTAAAAAAGAAAGCAGAAAATTCAGCAAAAATTTGCCAATACACTGTAAAATATCTAACAATATATACAATATTCAACACTTCTCCATTTTCACAAAAGGTTAGGGTTTAAAAGGTAAAAGATATCTTCTCTCCTTTTGTACTAAACTTATTCTTTATAGTTTTGTAACATTTCTTTTTGTTTTGTAGTTCTTGTTCTGTCCATTTACATGTTATAGTCACTTGTGTTTTCCTGGCTCTGCTTACTTTACTTTGTATCAGTGCAGTTGTGTTTCTCTTTATTCATCGTATTTATCATTTCTTACAGCACCATAATGTTCCATTACATTCCTGTCCCACAGTTTATGTAGCCATTCCTCAAATGATAGACACCTACTTTCTTTCCAGTTCTTTACTACCAAAAAGAGTGCTGCTACAAATAGTTTGGTGTATATGGAATCTTTCTTATTGTCAATGCCCTCTTTGGAATATCTGCCTAGCAGTGGAATATCTGGATCAAAGGGTATGGATAGCTTAGCCACTTATTTAATTCCAAATACCTTTCCACAATGGTTGCACTAATGTATAGCTCCACCAACAATGTAGTAATGTGACTGTGAGCTCCTCCTCCATACATTTACCTAATTAATCAAACTATGATTCATCCTAGTCAAAAAGCTAAATAAGTTGTTCCCTGCCCCCCCCAATCGATCAGGCCCAAATAAGTCCAAACTCCAACAATCCAAATCATTTATCAGAAGTTGGGAAAAGTAAAACTTAATTCACAAGTACTTTTATTAAATATTTTCTTGGAGTGACCTCACCATGAGGCAAAGAGAAGCACTGTTATCATTTGCCCTTGCCAACTATAGACACAGAAGTGCAGGAAATTCTGAAGGGTGTTATGTTTGTGTCACTGAATTCAGTAATTTAGTATTTTACAAAGTTAATTTCATAATTAAGAAAATAACACTATCACCAGACACTCAAAGAAGATACCAAATTTCCATTTCTTAGCTGATATGCTTTAAAAATAATCTATTTAAAATAGATTAAGATCTAGCTTTGGGGTTTATTCCTTCTGTGCTTCATCTGTGAAATGAGACCAGATAAGTTCTAAAATATCTTCCAGCTCTAAAAGTGTAGAGTTCATCTACTCTAAGGAAAGATCCTGACTAGGCAGATGACTTGTAACTTACTGTGATTGCCAATGTCTACTCTCATGTGTAATCAATGGAGATATCACTGGTTAACATTCCCAGAATAAGGTATAGACTGATGCCTTGGAACACCAAACAAAGCCCTTACCAAGGCACAATTGACTACTTCATACTTTAAACTCTGATGTCACGTTTCTGGCTAAGAAAAACCAGCATTCCCCTTCAGAACACACACAAATCTCAACATGACCCAAAACTCTTCCTGCCATATATTACCCTTTTAAGTATTAATGAATGAGGAACTTCTCTTGGGACCTGGTTAGAATCAGAAAGAGAGGTGAAGAATAATTAATCTAGGGATGTTCAGTACATTAGCCCTAGTCCCAACAAAAAGCCATTCTCTTGCAACTGTCTCACACCCTAATGAACTATATACAACATACCCATAGCATTACACTCCCTTTTTTTTTCTCTAGCACCTCCTACATCTGCTGAGGGGAGCAACCATCTGTTTCCTACTGCATCTTCACCATGCTGAAACAGAAGCAGTACCTGTAGTAGCAAGGATATTTCCCTTCCACAGTACCACCATGATAGGATGGGAGCCAAAGTAGCCAGAATTTTGCTCTAGTCCTAGGGTTTTATTATTTCAAATTCTGCCTAGCCCCTAACAATAGGCTGAGCCAACATAAACACCTGATATGTTCCAACCAATGTGACTTTTGCTTCCTTTTCCTGACAACAAACCTTATCATAGTAATTCAATTAACTGATTGCATGCCTGTCTCTTTCCAGGAATACAGAGAATCCAGCAACTTGCACAAAACACAAGATACTTCAGAAAAAGATTGAATGAAATGGGTTTCATTATTTATGGCAATCAAGAGTCACCTGTTATTCCCCTTCTCCTTTATTTACCTAGTAAAGTAGCGTAAGTATTAAAATATCTTTCAAAGTAACATGTAAATGCTGAGATATAGTAAAATAATGCTAAGCCTCTGACTCCAATCATATTATTCAGTATAGGACTATATGCTTCAAATGAAAAAATATAAATTCATAAGTTGCTTTATGTACAAACTACCAAGAGTCAATGATTATTTCTTGATTATCTGTTCAGTAGCAGTTATTTCTTTTTTGGGGGGGGGGTTAGGAAATGGGGTTAAGTGACTTACCCAGAGTCACACAGCTAGTAAGTGTCAAGTGTCTGAAGCCAAATTTAAACTCAGGTCCTCATGACTCCGGGGTTGGTACTCTATCCACTGGGCCACCTAGCTGCCCCTCAACAGCAGTTATTTCAAAAGTAGAAGTAGCATTATACTGGAGGATGGTGCCCAAAATTCAAATATCCAACTATTCGCAACTTAACAACCTATGTAACCTTGAGCAAGTCACTTTAAAACATCCATATGTTAAGAAGGTATTCTTGTGAACTATTCTATGAAGTATGATTAAAGAGCACTGAGGTGAATATCTACAGATAGAAATAGAAGCAATATCATGATGAAAGTATACTATAGATCACCTGGACAAAAAGAAGAAAAAGGAGAGAAGTTCAGGAAATCAAATCACAAGCCTGGCCCAAAGGCCTGTTCTAAAGAATTTTTAGAATTCTATGGTTTTTTTAAAGTTGTTTTTCTTTACAATGTTTTTGTCTGTATAAATTATCCTCATGACACTGCTCACTTCATCCTATATCAGTTCTTACAGGTCTTCCCAGTTTCCTCTAAAACTCTCCATGTAATAATTTATTATGGCACAATAATATTCCATTAAATTCATATACTCTATACTACAGCAGTGGTACCCCCTTAGTGTTCAGGGTTTGACTACTACAAAAGGAGTTACTATAAATATTGTCATAGATATAGGTCCCTCTTCCTCTTCTCTTGTTATCTTTGGGTCAAAAGTCACAGTTTAGTGATTTTTTCAGTATGGTTTCAAACTGCTTTGCAGAATGGCAGAACCAATTCACAGCTCCACCAACAGCATGATAGTGTATTTATTTTCCCAATGATCCACCAAAATTTATCAATTTCCACTTGTCATCTTTGTTAATCTGATGACTGTGAGGTGAAAGTTTAGAGCTGCTTTAATTTTCATTTCTCTAATTATCAGTGATTTGAATGGTTTTTTTATATGATTTTTGATAGCTTGGATTTCTTTCAAACTGCCTGTTGATATCATTTAACACTTAACAAATAACATTTGACCTTTATCTATTTAGGAAAGGATCTAATACTCATAAATTTGCAACAGTTCTTTTTTACATATTTTGGATATATTTGGATTTTTATGAAAAATTTTTCCCCATTTCACTGTTTCTCTTCTAATTTTAACTGGGCTGGTTTTGTTTATACAAAAGCTTTTTTTTTCTAATTTTATACAATCAAAATTGTTTATTTTATCTATGTGATTCATCATGAACTCTCCCCCTATCCACAGATCAGAAAGATATTATCTTTTTTCTTCTCTAATTTACTTTGTGATATTACTCTTTATATCTACATCATGTATCAATTTGAAGCTTATTTTATGGTTTGAGATATTATGGTCTGTATATGGTAAATGATTTGAGACATTCTAAGCCCAAATTCTAACAGACTTAACCTAGAAATTTTTATCAAATAACAAGTTCTTACCCCAGTAATGGGTTTTGTTTTGTTTTGTTTTTATCAAACACTACTATGCTGTATTCATTTGCTTCTGTACGTTGCACACCTAAATTGTTCCACAGATCATCCACTCTTTTAAATAGGACCAATTAGTTTTGATGATTACTGCTTTGTAACAGTTTAAGATCTGATACTGCTTCATTCCTTTTTTTAATTTCCCTTGAGATTTTTTACCTTTTTTCCTCCAGATTATTTTGTTATTTTTTCTATCTTTATAAAATAATCCTTGGTATGGTTTGATTACTATGGCACTGAATATGATAATTCATATAATATTTTCATTTTTATTATACTGACATCACTACTCATAAGCAATTGCTATTTCTTAAATTATTTAGGCTTATATTTCTGTAAAAGGTCTTTGCATTTGTATTCATATAGCTCTTGGATGTGTCTTGGTAGACAGATTCCCACATACTGTATACATTCTCTAATTAGTTTTGAATGACAATGATCTTTAGAGGAAAAAAGGCAGAAAATAAAAGTTAATACAAGATTTAAACATAAGGTAAATATATTTCATAAGAAATATGAGATAACTTTTGCCTGCCCTTGATTTCACACTTCATTAGACCAACATGAATTACAACAAGAACTGTCAGATGAGACTGTTAAGTCATTGTCAATTATCTTTTTAAGATCTTGGAGGGACAGCTAGGTGGCGCAGTGGACAGAGCACCAGCCCTGAAGTCAGGAGGACCTGAGTTCAAATCTGCCCTCAGACCAAACACTTGACACTTACTAGCTGTGTGACCCTGGGCAAGTCACTTAACCCCAATTGCCTTAAAAAAAAAAAAAAGATCTTGGAGAATGGAAGAAATTGAATTGAAGAAGGGAAGATGATATTCAAGTATTTTTAAAAAAGGGAAAATAACAGAATCTGCAAGTCTATATATATATATATGCCAGTGAGTTTGATTTCACTTCCTACTAAAATTATAGAATGTGTTATTAAAAGGACAGTTAGTGAATATTTTTAAAAGGAATCAGTTTTAAAAGGACAGAGACAACATGATGTTGTAGAGGGAATATTCCAGATGAACTCCCCATATTCACCTCCACACAACTTTAAAATAATAACACATCAAACTTCTAGCATCAAGACAGGGGAGTGAGGAAGGAACCATCTGAAGCCCTTCCACATTCCCCTCCAAAAAACTAGAAAACTTCCTCAGAATTAGTCTGTGAGTATGGAAGCAGCTTACTAGCCCAGCAGCAAAGGTCTGTCTGACTGGAGTGGGATTGGAACAAAGTTCAAGAATCAGCAGTAGCCAGTCTCACAACAGGGGGCCTGCAGCAAGGCTCCCAGTCTGAGGCAACCCACCAGTAAGGCCCTGCCCTCCTGCAAACCAGAAGCCCCCTACCCAAGTGAGCAGTCTGTGTAGCACACCAAGGCCCCACACCAGCAACCTTACCCCCAGCACAAACTACTAGCAAGGCCTTGCCCCCACTGCTGACCAGTAGTGAAGCCCTCCCCCTGGGGCTGATCTGGCGCCTACCACCAGATAGACCTTGTTTCCATAGCAACTTAGCTGCAGGATCCTACACCTGGGGCAGACCAACAGCTGAACCCCACACCCACAGGAGAAGCTACCCTCCAGAGAAAGGAAGCAGCTAAGCTCTAAAGCCCAGTTAAAGTCAGCAGTAAGGCCAAGAGCCCCAGCACGGAACACTTGGGACAGGGCAGGACCAGAGCCCAACTCACATAAAAACACCAAATCACCAAAAAAGAGAGTAAAAAAATTAGCAAAAAAAAAAAAAGCTTGACTATAGAAAGTTAATACAGTGATAGAGAGGACCAAGAAGAGGACAATAATGTCAAAATACATGTGAAGCCACAAAAAAAAATGTAATTTAGTCTTAGGCCCAAAATGAATTCCTACAAGAGCTTAAAAAGGATTTTTAAAAAGCAAATTAGAGAAGTAGAAGAAAAATTCAGAAAAGAAATGAGAGCAATGCAAGAGAATCATGAAAAAAAAGAGTCAAAAGCATGGGAAAAGATATACAAAAATTTTACCAAGGAAAATAACTCCCTAAAAAATACAATTGGCCAAACGGAAAAGGAAGTACAAAAGCTCACTAAAAAATTAATTAAAAAAAAAAAAGAAAATAACTGCTTAAAAATTAGAATTGAACATGTGGAAACTAATGACCCTATGAAATATCAAGGTACAATAAAACAAAATCAAAAAAGTTAAAAAAAATAGAAAATGTGAAATTTCTCATTGGAAAAACAACTGACCTAGAAAATAGATCCAGGAGAGATAAACATAAGAATTATTGGACTATGTGAAAGCCATGATAAAAAAAAAACTGACAATATCTTTCAAGAAATCATCAAAGAAAACTGCCCTGATATATTCAAACCAGAGGGCAAAACAGAAATTCAGAGAATCCACTGATCATCACTTAAAAGAGATCCCAAAATGAAAACTCCCAGGAACAACACAGACAAATTCCAGAGTTCACAGATCAAGGAGAAAATATTATACAAACAGCCAAAAGGAAACAATTCAAATACTGTGGAGCTATAGTCAGGATTACACAGGATTTGGCAGCTTCCACATTAAAGAACTAGAGATCTTAGAAAGCAAAGAAATTAGGATTACAACCAAGAATCACCAACCCAACAAAACTGAATATAATTTATCAGGGGAAAAATGGACATTTAGCAAAATAGAGGACTTTCAAGCATTTCTAATCGAAAGATCACAGCTGAATAAAAAAATCTGACCTCCAAACTTAAGACTCAAGGGAAAAATTAAAAGGTAAAAAAGAAATAATAAAAAGAAAATGTAAGAAATTCAAAAAAGATTAAACTGTTTATATTTCCATATGGCAAGATAATTTTTGTAACTCTTAACAACCTTACTACTATCAGAGCAGTTAGAAGGAATATATATAGAGATGTGGATATGAGGTGACTTTGATGGGATGATACCCCCCCAAAAAATAAATAAATACAGGGTGAGAAACAAAATACACTGGAAGGATGGGGGAGATTGAATGGGGTAAATTATCCCAGATAAAAGAGTCATGAAAGAGCTATTATAATAGAGGGGAAGATCGGGGGGGGGGATGGTAGGCAAAGCTTAAACTTTACTTTCATCAAAATTGGCTTAGAAAGGGAATAACATATACACTCAGCTGGATACAGAAATCTACCTTACCCTATAAGGAAGTGAAGAGGGATGAGGATAATAGGAGCGGAAAGACAAAAGGGAGGATATATATTAAGGAGGGTGGTGATCAGAAG